GTCTCAGCCGCTAATCCTGGCTGGGCTAGAAGAGGGCAGTGCTTCTTTTTCCCCTGTTAATAGCAGCTGGGGTGGAGGAGAACATCCCCCAGAAATCTCTGCAGTTTCAGGAAGCTCTGCACCTTCTCTCTTGCTCCCTGACCCCATCAATCCTCAGCAGCAAGATCGGCTATAGGGAGCTCTCCCCCCATTCATCCAACCCCCCAGCATCAGGCTCCTCCCAGTGGGCCTCACCCTCTCCCACTCCCAGAAACCCACACACTGAGCCCCTCACACTTGGAGTCCCACTCTATCTGGACCTCCCACCAAGCCCCAATCTCTGCACCCAGCCCCCTTGCTGTACCCTACCCTCTGCATTGGGACTCCCACTCCTGCACCCAAACTGCTCCCACAAAGCCCCCTCACACTTGAACTCCCACCCCGATGAGTCCCACCTGGTTACACCTGGATCACACTGACTACACACAGTGCTCTGCTCCCAGCCACAGTTTCTGGCTCCTCTGTAGGGACCTCAGTGAGAAAGGAAGTCAACCTTTCCTCTATTCTTTTGTGCGTTACACAAGGTCAAACACAATGTGGCCGATGACATTTTGGGTCCTGCAGATCTTATGTGTAGACAAGTTATAAAACAAATCCTTTTTTTTCCCATTTAGGAAGGGGATAGTTTTTGAACTTTATTCTTACCACAAACCCTAAAAATAAAGGAAGTCAAGGACATCATGTCTTTTGGGGTCCCTGATTCATGATTTTTGGACACTCTGGATTGGCAAATACTGGGATAAAGAAGACAGAAGCCAATCAGAGTTACTCATATCCTTTAAAAGGCTGGGAGGTGATTCATGGCTATTTGCAGCAAAGGGCACTTCGATCCTGCCAGATGATTAAGCATGGAACTAGAATTCTTAGAATCCGGTCTTAGAACCAGAGTGGGCTTACGACCCCCTATCAGCTCCCCTGACTTCCCTGTAAGGTATGCAGCTCAGCAGTTGCAATTCAAGGTCCCTTACCCACTGCCCTTCTGCTTCTGCCCTCTGCCTTGGAGCTGTTCCCAGGAACCTCCTGCTTGCTGTGTGTTTGAGGGGGGAGGAATGGAGAGAGGGGTGCGGATATCAGGATGTTCTCTTGCCCTCCCTTTCCCAAATTGAGCCCCCCCACTCTGTACCCCATCTCCACAGAGCAGAAAGGGGGCACAGAAGGACTTGGGATGGAGTTTGTTGGCTGTTTTGGGGAGTGGTACAGGGCCAGGGCAGGGGTGAGCCTGCCTTAGCCTCACTGTACCACCACCTCCCCCAGGAGCCACCTGAGGTCAGCAGGGCCCATTCAGAGCCCACATCCCGAAACTTACCTCAGTCATGAACCCCCTCTTGCAGCCCAAGCCCTTGCTCCAGCCCTGAGCACCCCGGCATCCAAGCAACTTCCCATAGGCTGCACCTAGAACCTCCTCCAGCACCCCAACTGCCTGTCCCAAGCTCAGCTCAGAGCCCCTCTCATACTCCAGATCTCTTAATCCAAGACCAGAGTCTGTCTGCACTCCAACCCTCAGCCCCAGCCTGGTGAAAGTGAAGGAGGATGGGGGAAGGAGGATGGAGTGAGTAGGGACAGGGGGGCTCAGGGAATGGGCATAAAGAAGGCAGGGTAAGGGCATTTGGGTGTGAGGTAGATCTGGGATTGCACTTAAATTCAGAAAGTGATCTCTTGCTTAAAAAGGTTGGAGACCCCTGCTCTAGGAGCACACAGTATCCCCGTAGACTCTTCTCTCTGCCTTTCTCCTCTTCACACAGTCACAAAAGAGCTGCCAAAATAAACCTAGTGATTGCTAATATATTTTAATGACATGACTGGTTACTTTTAAGATATACATAATAACACCCGAGCCAAAAATCTTTAGAAAGATTGTGTGTGAAGCATCAATATCGTAACAAGCACAACACAATAAAGGTTAGATATAGAACACTGTGATAAAAACCTGCCACGTAACAATAGCACCAGGAAGCAATAGTTCAGACAGAATCACCATAAAATACCATGGAGCCAGTGACAATAAAAGAATCATCTTGAAAATGCTGTCAGTGCTAATCTTCAGTAAGGATTTCTTATTTTGATTTTCATACCAAATGATGTATTGCAGAAAATCCCCTTTCCTTAACTAGAAAGATTTTTTGCTTGTCACTTCTCCATGAGAATCAATTGCACTCCATCTCTCTTTTTTACTAAGGGATTCCTAACATTTTACTTTTGTACCCACAGACACAGTAGTTCTCCTTACAACAACCAAAAATCCTACACAATCTGTGGGAGGCATATTAATGATTTTAAAAAACCCCAAGGCCATGTTTGTGTTGTTCATGAAGAAAGAAGCAGCCACAGGGGTGTTTGAAACACCCCCGGCTGTTTTCTAATTCTGAAAGGAAAGTTTTTAAACCTTTCTCCTTGTGAACTGGTAACATAAATGGTGTTATGCATCCATAGGCTGAGGAGTGCTTCCCT